TCAGTGTGTGTCCCCCTCAGTGTGTGTCCCATCAGTGTGTGTCCCCTCAGTGTGTGTCCCATCAGTGTGTACGAATGGGTCAATGAGGCACAGATTGTTGTAAAGAGCTGTGTCTCTATAGTGTCTCTATAGTGTCTTTCTAAAATAGAAAGGAGCTGTATAGGTACAGTCCATTTACAAGAGAGACCTGATTTAAACAAAACACAGATGAGGTACAGACTGAGACGACAATGGACAATCATCCATCGTCTTTAACCGCTTCTTCCATTTTGGATCACGGGGGTCGCTGGTGTCCATGTCCATCAATCACTGTGCGAGAGACGGGGGACACCCTGGACAGGTCTGCAGTCCATCACAGGGACACATAGAGACAATTTAGAGTTACCAATCAGCCTAACATGCATGTTTTTGATCTGTGGGAGGAAACTGGAGTACCGGGAGAAAACCCACACGTGCACGGAGAGAACATGCAAACTCCACCCAGAAAGACCCCTGGACCGGGATTTGAACCAGGGCAACCTGCTCCCTGAGAGGCAGCCGCTCCACCAACTGATCCACTGTCCTTAGACCATCATGTAACAGCATATAAACTGAAAAATAAATAGAATAAATGATATAAAAACAACAGCAGCTACTTTATAAAGTGATGTAAAATACTAAAAACAGAAATGTCTGCGCTGGTTTTCGTTACCGCAGACATTTCTGTTTTGTACAAAGTTTTTTTATTTGTCATTCCACCCCATGTGGTGCATGTGGTGGAATGAAACTGTGCACAGGGTCCCAGTTACATCCAACAAAAGTATGAATTGTAAAGAAACACATTCACAAGATGCTCAGGTTCCTCTTGTGACCTTTACCTCTGTCCTGACGTCGCTTGTTTTTAGCGCTAAGATTCAGAACTTGGTGTCGATGTCTCAGCCCAACAAGTCTGTGAGTGGTGGTGAGGCACCAGGTCACGTGGTCGTCCCAGAGCCTCCGCAGGACAACAGGACCGCTGCTGGAGATGCAGGAGCCAGCACAGACAACCTGGAAGACCGAGAGATCATTAAGTCTCCCAGTGATCCAAAGAAGTACAGGTGAGAGAAAGACAGGTGCTGTGACCGTCTGGGTGTCTTCTTTAATCACCTGGGATCTTGTTCATCTCAGTGAGGTCTCTGATCGAGGACTCTCCTCAGGGGCAGTTTTTATCTCAGGTCCAGACCGATCAGACCAGGTTCTGATCATGTGTCTGCAGATACATGGAGCTGAGCAACGGGCTCCGAGCGCTCCTCATCTCCGACTTCAGCAGCTCAGACGGGACAGGACGCAGCGAGAAACCTGGGGAGGAGGAGGAGGGTTCAGAGGAAGAGGACTCTGGTGACGGCTCCGAGGAGGAGGAGGAGGAAGATCAGGACAGTGACTTTGTCGAGCTGGACAAGGAAAAGGTAGCGAAGAAGACGAAGAGCTCGGAGAAGCAGGTGGATAAAAGGATGATGAAGATGAGCTTAGATCACAAGTTTAAATGGTTGTTGAGACAAACTTCACTCCTGCTTGTGGGTGTGTGCGTGCGTGCGTGCGTGCGCGTGCGTGCGTGCGTGCGTGTGTGTGTGTGTGTGTGTGTGTGTGCTTTCAGGCAGCTGCTGCGTTGTGTATCGGTGTCGGGAGCTTCAGCGACCCTGACGACCTACCGGGTCTCGCCCACTTCCTGGAACACAGTGAGTTTCCTGCTGTCAATCATTCAGATGTAACACAAACATCTGGTGGTCAACCAAAACAATATGACCTCTGCGGTGCCACTTACTACCAGGAAAGTTCTGACCCATCTCACTCTGTGGACCTGTGATGGTCTGCTGGAGTATCTGGCTCAGTGGGTCCCGTAAGTCCTGGAAGGAGGCGAGGCTTCCACAAGCCGGGCTTGTTGGTTCAGAACATCCCACAGATGTGTAGGAGTGGCGAGGTTCTGATCCAGCTGTACAACCTTCACAGCTCAGTACTGGTTGAAGTCCATCCAGTCCTCACGCTGGACATGCTTTAGTTTTATCTTCAAGGACAGACAGTTCATCTGCTGTCTGATAGATCCCACCTACCAACAGCTGCCATGGTAACCAGATGTGTCACCTGCCAGTGGTCATAATGTTTTGGATGCCTAACGAGGTTAAGTCAGGTCCTCCACCTGACTTAACCTCGTTAGATGGATCTACCTGGATTATTGAGCATGTTCAGCTTTAACGTGTTTATTGTTTTCATGGTTTTCATCAAGATAAATTTATGAAATGTATTTGTTGTTTTTTTGGCGAGTCGAGATGGTTCTTCTCGTCCTCAGCATTTCATTGCATTGTTGACCTGGTGTTGACCTTGTGTTGACCTGGTGTTGACCTGGCGTTGACCCTGTGTTGACCTGGTGTTGACCCTGTGTTGACCTGGTGTTGACCTTGTGTTGACCTTGTGTTGACCTGGTGTTGACCCTGTGTTGACCTTGTGTTGACCTTGTGTTGACCTTGTGTTGACCCTGTGTTGACCTAGTGTTGACCTTGTGTTGACCTGGTGTTGACCTTGTGTTGACCCTATGTTGACCCTGTGTTGACCTTGTGTTGACCTGGTGTTGACCCTGTGTTGACCTTGTGTTGACCCTGTGTTGACCTGGTGTTGACCTGGTGTTGACCTTGTGTTGACCTTGTGTTGACCCTGTGTTGACCTGGTGTTGACCTGGTGTTGACCTTGTGTTGACCCTGTGTTGACCCGGTGTTGACCTGGTTTTGACCTGGTGTTGACCTTGTGTTGACCTGGTGTTGACCTGGTGTTGACCTTGTGTTGACCTTGTGTTGACCTTGTGTTGACCTGGTGTTGACCTTGTGTTGACCTGGTGTTGACCTTGTGTTGACCTGGTGTTGACCTTGTGTTGACCTTGTGTTGACCTTGTGTTGATTTACATATGACAAACCAAAAGTAAAATTTGACATGTTTACTCTCATCACTGCTTTTTACCCTTGGTACTTCCTGTGTGTAGTTTTACTTCCTGTATGCCATCACCTGTCCTGGCCTCTCCACGGGCTGCACGTGTATTTTAGAGTTCACTTTAAAATTATTTTTTGTTTTTAAGGTTTTCAACAGCCTTGCCCCGCCTTATTTAACAGAGCTTCTCCTCCACTGCGCTCGCCCTCGGTCACCCAGGTCCTCTGACCAGCTGCTTCTGGTCATTCCCAGCAGTAAGAGGAAGCTCAGAGGAGACGGGACCTTCTCTGTTAGTGGCCCTGAGTTATGGAACAGGCCCCTCACTGTCCATGTTTAAAACTCGTCTGAAAACTCATCTCTGCTCATCGGCCTTCAACCAGCTGACACTAGATTTTACTTCATTTTTGTTTGTATTGATTTCATCCGTTTAACTCGTTGTTTTATTGAGTTGTGTGCTTTGTCACTTTATTTTTATTCTTTCTTTGATCCTGTTCCTGATAATCAGCACTTTGTTTCAGCTGTGGCTGCTGTTAAAGCGCTTTATAAATAAAGCTGATGATGCTGTGTTACTTCCTGTGTGTAGTTTTACTTCCTGTATGCTGTGCTACT